AACCTTAATTTTGTTTTTCTTTTTACTTTCATATTTATGAGTGGAGAGGCTGTCCTCTTTCCTCCAATATCAAGTTTTAATGTTGATGGAAGTAGTATTGTAGAGTACTAGTATTATTGATGCTAGAGAAGATAACTCAGATTCAATGTACATGTTGTTAAACAAGGTAAATGTAACAATATCAATGTTTCAGTATGAAGCATGTTCTTCATACTGAAGCTGTGCTTCACATTTCCTCCCCCTCCTCCCCCCCCCCAAAAAGATGATACAATAATAACTGTATATCTTAAAATTTAATTGGTGCCTTAGATTGAAAGAAAATACAGCAGTATTCAACTTTTCCAATAACACAATTCAGCTACAACAAACTGCTTTTAACATTCTTCAAATCAAGGGCTTCACTTCTTTTAACTTAAAGGATGAATAATTCAACAATAGGAAAAGGTAAATTCTCCAGCAACTAATCTTGATATTATTTACTTTAGAGAAAACTCTGGAGTTCAAAGCAAATCATGAAAGTCAATTCATGATCATTCGTTTTCATATTTTTCGCTCGATTAGCACTCGCTCAATGGGTACTGAACTCCTTTCAGCTGCATTTCATCACATCCTCCCTATGAAAAATACTTTATGATAGATCTAAATTAATACAAATATCAAAATAAAAACAGGCGTAAATAAAGTTACATCTGTTGTACAAAACATTTGCTTTTGTTATGAAGCATAAACTAATATATTTAAATAATCAGCATTAAATTGAAAACATATAGAAATATTTTGCAAGAATATTAGGAGTAAATTACAAGTTCTATAGATTTCTTCTTGCCACCCCTCTATATTAGAAAAAACAATGTGCATAATGAATTAAAAAATTATATAAATGAGCAGATATCTTTCAACGAAAATGAAAGAATTCTACTTCTAAACATCTTAGAGCTTGAGGAACTCCTGATTAAATATAGTCTGCAGCGTATCATGTTGATAGTTGTGTACACAAAAGTAGTGCTATTATCAAGTGTAAAAAGAAAACAATCATCAGAATAACAAATAAGTGGAAGGAATTCCCAGCATTCCTCCTTGAAGTGAATGTGTCTCACAACTGGCAGCCCACAGAAGCTTAGGTATGTGAATGATTTATTGATAATTGAAGAAAAGACTCATTTTAACACTCTCAACACACATAAATAAAAATAATTCAAGTAAAAAAGTTTCAAGAGGAATATCATTAACTTTCTCTGACATTAAAATGGAATGTTATCTCCCTGTGTCCATACATTTAAAGCGCACTTGTTGCCATTAACACCTTTAAAATATACATGCATTTCTTCAAATGATGGAAACACAAACAACATAAAAAAACATTCAAACACTGCAAATTTCAACAAAAATTAAATTATTTCTTCACCAAAACAATACTAAGTATAAAAAATACACATTTATTTTGTTTTGTACCCCAAGGGTATTATTTATATATCATTTCATCTCTTTCAAAAAATAGTGTTAAAATGAAATGAGAAGAAGAAAGTGGCTGAAGCATCTTTACGCAAGTCCTTTAATGGTAATTGAGAATATTGCATTTGAATGATTTGTATATGATCTAGCATCAATAACCAGCAAGATCTGCAAATGTTTGGTCCATTTCATCTGCAATTGCTTTGTATTTTTCTCTCTCATTTCTCAATTCATCTGCAAGAAAACGCACAAGAGGTTTTTGTTAGTAATCTTCAAACAATTGTAATAAAGCATAATTGCACACAACAAATTCATCACTACTGTACTGTTAAGTTTTCTCTAATTAAATTTTACTCAAGTTAGTAGGCCTAATAGGTATGCAAGTGATGTTTAGCACTAGGTGATATATTAATAGGTACTGCAGTTGAGAAATTCATTATAATTAAGTGCTAAAAATACATAAAGTATCTCAACATTCATTGAAATTAAAGATGAAGTTTCTACTCACAATTTACTTAAAATATTCATTTAAATACATGCAAAATAATAAGTCAAATTCAAAAATGAGAAGTTTAGGTATCAAATAAATGACTGAAAAAAATGTAAGATAACTTTTACCTACCTTGTTTCTCTTCAGTTCAAGTAAAGATATATGACATTATGAAATAAAGTTCATGAATATTCATAATTACCAGAAAAATTACAAGTGACTACATTTGGATTTTAACATTTCATTTTATAGATTCATTACATTTCAAGAGTAAAGTTTTGCTTTCTTTTGAAAGAAAAGCAGTTATACAGCATGTAAACAAACCTTAAACGTTGCAGACATTTCAGCAAATTTGAAGAGGATTTGTGCTTGTTGGACCTCTCCCATGCCATGTTATGAAATAAATTAAAAGAAATTAATTAATGGTTAAAATAGGGATTCAAGTCTTCAGAAACAACCTAATTTTTGATAATGATTACACGATATGAACTTGCAATGGCAGTGATGAAGAAAAAATTAAATGCACATATTTTGCAATTTAAAAAATTAAAATTTGTAAGCAGTTCACAATAATCATTAAGTGTGATCTTATAATGGTATTTTTCAGCTTATGCTGGTAACCCTAATACATCCAAAAGGGTTCACTAGAAACCGATGCGTTTGTGGTCTGCTCCAGAATATAATTGATGAAAGACCCAGGGCAAACTTCAATACCCAAGAGAGCATTTGATTTCGTCTTATGACATGAGCTGACATGGGAGATTTCCAAGCTATATCAGGGCACTTAATTACTCTCCACAATGTAAATGTGTCAATAACTGACCAAAACAAAATAAGATTGGTCATCTCTAAAGGCTTAGAAACCACATAGCAGACTCAAAATTTCAACTGCTGCACGACTTTATAAAATCATATTACCAAATTTTCAAAAATAAAATTATTAGCAGAATCACATATTTAATATTTAAAACTTGTTAATGATGAAGAATATATCCTTTTGTATTGTAATTCCTTTCTCAATTGCACACGTTTGACTGAGCTGAAAGAACGTGAAATTCATATGCTATGCATTTCCAAACTTTTACTTTTTCTCTCTTGTAACAAGGGGTGTAAGACTATTCTGAAGTGAGAAATATATTATGGAAACGTTATTAGAATAGAGTTAGGAAGAGTGTTCCTAATGTAATACATGGAATCATATCTCTTATTAATTAATTTGACATAGATCTATTTATGACATCCCCGAATATTTATTTTCAGTGTTCATCATGCTCAAACAGGGACACATCCTAAAAGCTCTTTAGGCAGGGGAGTTTTCAATTCAGATTCTCTCATAACTATTTCTGAATTCCTATTTTTGTTTCCTAATTTGTCAGCATGAAAAAAAAGTAAATTTCCAATAAGAATACCCCTTTGAATGTGAAGCTTTGTGGAGACCATGGTAAAGTCTTGAATAAATTGAGTCAAATTGCAACCAAAAAAATGTCTTAGGGGGTCTGGATCCACTACCATGCCTCAACTTGCATTCATGTAGTTCATAAAAATTAATGTTTGCTAGGAGATATAGTTACTATTTATTTGGAATTAATTTCAACAATGTGATATGTTTTATAAAGAAATAAAATCAGTTTTACTGTTGTTTAACTATTGAACCATTGTTATCTCAAAAACACCATGGAAAAAAAAAAACCAAAAAAAACGTAACCAAAAAATAATCTAGGCAGCAAATGAGAACAATGCTCAAGTCACTCCGTTAATGCACATACCCAATAAATGGTAGGTTGTATGAATAGCTATCCTGGTGACGCTAGCCACAAAAGCCTACAACATCAATATTTGATCTACACAGAAAATATGAAAAAGTTAGAAATAAAAATTAAGTTAATGTTGAATCATGAAGATTTTATTACAGTACGAGGCATCACAAGAAAACATTAATTATATGACAAATTCTATTGTAGAGAAACCATAATGATCTTCTTACTTAAAATTAATGTAATTATTTTCAATTTCCTTCCGTTTAGCTGCTTCTATGATTTGATTCAAGCATGTCTCAATAATGATTTATAAGGGAGATTAATGAATGACATTTTTGGTCAAGAGGGAGTCTGATTACTACAATGCTTTAATTAAACAAAAGATAGTAATCTTCAGTTGCTTCTCTCAGGGAATTCTTTACGAGTCTTCCTTATAAATAAAAATCAGAAGTACAAAATACATCACAACAGGGGGGGATTAAGCACATTTTGAGAGGGTACAGGGAATCACACATTTTTATAATACACGTATTTGTTATTATAATGTATATTATTTTTGTAATGTGTATATGATACTATACAATATTATTTTTAAATACTTACATAATTCTAGCACAAATAAGTATTTAAATCAATTTTGCCAAATAAAGGACTGTTAAAAACAAAAAATCGAAGATATTTGGGAGGGGAGGCATGACCCCCACTCGGATCTGCCACTGCAGCACAAGGACGTACATGTATCATGAACTTAAGGCCCGAATTTACAGCGCATATATGAGTGTGTTACGGAGTGGAGAGGGGGTATTCAAAATACTCCAAAGTTGTGTTACATAGTTTATGGATGGCCCCTAATAACACAAGCACACAAAAAAAAGGAGAAACATGTGTCACATCTTTGGGTCTCACAATTTTTGGCTTCAGTAAAGAATAAGCCACAAGACACCAACATCTAGTATTCGCATGTTTTTCATGATTAAAAAAACTGGAGGGTGGTGGTGCATTTCTCGCTTCAGATTCTGTGCATCAACATACATAGAGAAACTGAAGTCGAGACTTTGGTCTGACAACTTTTATTTTTTTGTGAGTGAGCATGCCGGTGTAGTCACCGTACTTCAGAGAAAGAATTCGTTCTATTAGTCTATTCATATGTCAAAAAAACAATCCTTCTGTTTAGTATCTAATTTCATCAGTGCGATTTTCCAAATCTTTTTAGCCCTTCAACACTTCAATATCATTAGAGATTTTTACAAATGGGACATTCATATGCATTCTGAAGCAGCACTTGCAAAACACAAAATTTGCCTCAACTTCTTCACAAGTGTTCATGGGAAAAGCTAATTCCTAAGATAAAAAATACACACACAGTATACTGCTTTTCCTGGATTGCTGAAGCAGACTGTACTGTATTTTGTACCATGTACAAAGCAGTACCCAATGAGAACTTCTAGGTATTTGGTCACAATGTTTCATTCACCACAATTTCTGATTCCTAATGTATTCCACACATTCAGTTAGTCTCCAATGAAATTGAAATTACTTTTGTTACCATGATAATTGAGCAATAAACAACTGGGGCCGTTCACAACTTCATTGCAACCGCTCAATTTTAAAATTCATTCATATGCTATTTTAAATCATTAGATAAAGAATTTTTTTTTTTTAATATCATTTTCATTCTGTGAACAGCTATTTCTTTGAAGATTCCTATTCTTTCAACCCCAACAGTAAGATTTGAAACTGTATCTGCTAACCAAGCAGACGGTTGAATTCTTTCATTGATCATGCACATGCATTTCATATGATTTGACAGCATGCCAAGACATACTGTGGTACATGACCATAGCGGTTTGCAGTGTGCCAGTTAATGTTGTTTGGGGCAGTGCGAGAAGTGCATGTGTGTATGTATAAAGGTGGTGATGAGGCTATCATCTATTCAATCACTAATATGAATAAATGAATTCATTAAACAATGATTAGCTGGGTGATTGATTGAGTGTGCATATAATTAATTACATTTGTCATACATGTAAATGTTCATTAACTTCTTTTGAACTTAAGCACTTTTATTCCAAAGACAGAAACAATCTTTAAGATGGTGTTTTATTAATAAATGTCAATTTATATTTGCAGATGGGATTCTATCTCAAAACACACATTTTATTCAACCACCTACAAATTGAATAACCCACCATTGATCAAGAAACGAATGTTCTTATTCTTAAAAGATTAATTTACAATTTTCATTTGTCCTAATATATTTTACTGAAACTACACAAAACAAAAACCATCATTTTCCACAATTCGTTCAGTTTTCCGAGTGCTAAGTTGTTAATAATATCTAAATTCCGAAACAAATTCAACATCATATCAAACTATTTCGAAGATACTTAGCATTTATAAAACTGATGCCAACTTTCACTTTAGTTGTTGAACATTTCACTGTAAAAATCAAAATCAGTTTACATATTATGGAGGGAGAATAATAATTTGATATATTGAATCAAACTTCCAAATTTTATGGAAGAAAAACAAAGAAAAAATAAGTAAAGGCTACTCTACTTGCAGGCTCATACATGTGCAAACATCTTTGACATGAAATAAATGAAGGCATCTGATGAAATGTGACAAGGTCAACATTCATACTCACATGCATTCCACCTACTGTAAGTTCTATATTTAATGAATAGTTCTAAAAAAGACCCTGTCATCAACATCTGACTTACTGCCTTTTCAAATCAAAATTTATAAATTCAAAGAGAATACCAATTATACCATAAATTTTAACTAAATAGAATGGTAACAAAACTAAAAAAAAGATAAAATAACAAAATATCAATTTAATTTTCTTTGTTTCATACATTCTTTTCTTGTAAATAAAGACCTTAAATAAACCCAAAATTGAAGCTGAATAAACTTAATATAACATAGTTCATAAACAACAGAGGAAGTAATACCAATCAAATAAATATTGTAACATAGCAAATAAGATGTTTATTTCATATTTATACAGTGTGATAAATTTGCTCAAACAAGATTGGGTTCACAAAGACTTATTTAATTGTATCTTTATTGATGTGTTACTTTTATATAGCACCTTTACTAAATGATGTGCGTTTGGTACTTGAAGTACCTTAAATAGGAGCAGCAGATTGTAAAATATTTTAAGCAAGACAGCACCGACCAATATAACTTTCAAAAATAATGCTTGTATGTTTGTAAAGAAATGAAGATGCCCATTAAACATTTCTTACTTTTCCATCATTTCAATAGTCATGATGGTTGAATGTTGAGGACCTAAGCAATGTGAACCCAAGATCTTAACATCATACAGTACAGCAAAGTGTGGCACATTTTGTTGTGGTTTAGTTGCCAATAAGTTCGGTGAAAGTCATGTCAAGATCATCACAAATGAACTTGTACTTCTCCTTCTCGTGTACCAACTCATCTGCAAAGAATCGACAACAAAACAAAACGCCATGAGAGAAACTGCACATAAATATTGCAGATTGAAAAGAAATTAAAATTAAAATAAAATAAATGATATTCAATCATCTGCAAAAATGGCAATAAACTAGCAAAACCACTATCGAAATATACAGTTTTTGAATTATGAACACATGAACTTAATATAAATGTTTGATTTTTTATTGAATTTACAGTGCACTGACAAAATTCAGGCATTCCTTAATATATGTCATGAAAAAACAAAGTACTAGAGCTTATTTTATACATTATAGAAAACTTACCCTGAATAACATATTATAAAATTCTTAGCTGTAATTCCTACTACACTTACAACAACTTCAACTTCTTTTCTTTCTTTCAAAAATCCATAAATACGATTAATTCATTATACCAAAAATGTACAGTCCTATTAGTTTTCATACAACACAGTACTTCAATTACTGCATTTTCGAGTACATTACTCTTAACGTAAAGCACTTGGCAGTAAACTGAATTAAATTGCTAAGGTCCCTAGTATCCTTCCCTCCCACCCACTTCCACGCAACTGGTTGAGGATGTACTGGTGTAAGTTTAGAAGAGGTTGATGAGAAGCAATTTAAGCATAATACTACTCTAAAAATAACTACAAAGCAGCAATTTAAAATCTACCAAAAGTTACAGCGATGTGAGAATTGTTTTTCTACAAAATGAGCAAATGAAATATGAAAAGAAAAATTAAATACAAATTAAAGAAAATTAATGAATAATACCAACACATTCTACAACTGTAGTGTTAAACATCTTTTACACACACATCATTTTAATGAAGCGCTATATTTTTTTCCATTTGTGCAGGATTGGGTTAGAATTAATGAGAAGCAATTTAAGATGCAGGCAGCTCATGTTGAGGTTGGCCACTTAGAGAAGCAGCAGTATGAGTACAGTAGTGATGGCATAGTAAAATGGCTGACACTAATGACAATATCGTTCTTTATATCGGATGGTGCTGTATATTTTAATATCCATATAATTCTACGAAGGCAGAATCCAAATCGTCACCAATTATCTTGTATTTCTCCTTCTCAATCACCAGCTCATCTGGAAAGTGAACAAAGACACAGTAAAAATACTGAGGAGGCACTTGGAGACCACCTGTGAAACCTTGTGATATCTTAAATTCCCTCATGGCGATTTGAAGAGGCCCTCTAAGTAGGAGGTTGTTATGGATAGTAAACAGGTTCTCTCATTGAATAAAAAGAAAAAAAAAGAAAAAAAAATTTAAAAAAAAGAAAAAAAAAGGAAAAGAAAAAACACAACCATGCTTGTTTATATTGAAAAATGGAAGGGAAAAAAAATCAATTTCACACTTTAGAATCAAAAAAATATTCTTAAATGTTTCTTTTAAACAAAGAAGAGAGTCAGATGTTGTGTTAAAAAATTAATAATCCTTTCTTATCATGCATAAATATTTGTACCAAAAAAAAAAAAGTCATTAAAGCTAAAAATGAAATTAAATGATAAAAGTGTACAACTACATTTATTAAGAGACTTTCACAAAATACACCACTTTAACACAAAAAAATTAAAAGAATTACATTCCAAAAAAAAAGCACAATAACAAAACTTTTTTATTATTTTCTATAAGAAGTTGAAGTTAACAAACATAGAATTGTATTTAACAAATTAACAAGGAAATATATTGGCAACTCAAATTACATCATGTTAATTATAATAAAAATAATTTGACAACATGCAATTGTCATGCATTAGGGAACTTGTGGGAATTATTTGAAACAATCATCATTTACACGTCACACTACTATCTCTAGTAGTTTTTCACAATTTGACACCACTAGAGAAATTTCTAATAATTTATAAACATCTTTGTTAAATATTACTTAAAGTGCCATTTACGTCTTATTAAGTATCTCAATATTATTATTTCTATCACAAGAGGTATATTACTTCAATTAAAGATATGCTATATCTCAATAAATGGCCATGGTCAAAACTGTTATTGGCTGCACAATGCACGGTACATCCAAATAACAACCTGAAAGTGTTGAGAATCGACATTAAATATAGTGACCATACTTTTGAGTTCAGAGTAGGGTTTATCACCAATCCTAACATTGTGCAAGTCAAGTTTTCTCTTCACCATTATTGTTATTATTATTTTTAACATCATTATCAATAAAATCTGTTTATTTGCATTGTAACGCAAGAACCACTTAAGAATTTCTGCTTGTCAAGTTTTCTGTCAATTTCTGTCTCTTTCTCTCAATTTTTTTCTCTCCTTTCCCTCTTTTCTATCCCCCCCCTCTGCCACAACTAAATGTAGCACAGACTAATTTGATAGTTCAAAGATTTCTTGAAGTATTGCTGTTGAAACAGTAATATTTTTTGTAATGTTAAACAGCTTGTATTACTTTGATACAAATAAGAGGGGTTCATCATTGTTCTGTCCCAAAAGTGCTTCATTATTATCAGTTTAGAATTTAGAATTTACAATACCAGTTGCATTCAGTTCTGAAGAAAATGGGAAGAATATTTTCTAATATATTCCCAAATCCTTACACAACAGAAAAATTGTTGGTCTTTTACATACAGACTTTACTAAAAAAGCAGGATATATGGTCACCCTACTTAAATAATTCTCAATACTAACAAGTACAAATAATTTCATAAAAATAGAAGAAACATTTTAGTTGTTATAGGATTCCCAATAAAACTTGGTTCACAACCTCTCCTTCATGAAAATATAAAGTCTTCCTCTTCTTTGCGAGATGGAATCATGTAGCAATTTGCAACACAGTCACTGCAAGCAGCCTTTAAACATTAATGAATGTCTTGGAAGCATCACTGATGCTTCTGAATTTAGCATTTTTTGAGGCTTACAAAGAAATATTCATAAGCTCTGTGATGAATGCTTCAATTGTGGGCAAGGATAGAGAAAGGAAGCTTAAATATTTATCAAACCTTGGGATCATGAGCACTCGACAAAATCACGCCATCTTATGCCACACTAGGGCAGAGGTTTACATGTTCTGAATGTCATGCAAGGTTGCCTCCATTTCCTCCTGTAGAAGTTTATTCTTCTCCTTTTCAGCTAACAGGTCATCTGCAAACAGTGGGATACAGGGTAAAACTCACAATGCATCAAGGTCAGCAAGACAGCATCACAACTTTTAAGGTGACAACCTGAAAGAATTTGTACATTTGGTAATTGATGAGGAAGATAAATGGGCTATGAGTTTCAACAAAGTTCCATTTTTGTGATGATGTTGAAAGTTATATCATAATGCATTGCAAACATTTAACATGAGGACTTGGTTAGTAGTAAATTAGAATAAGTGTATTTTTTATCCATTACTAGCAATGAATGATTTTCTTTTTCCTATTAGCAAAACATTCACAAACACTAGCTACAAAACAATAACAAACAGAACTAGTTAGTTGAGCGCACACACACACGTTGGTGTCAGCATTATGGCACAAGACTTAATGCAAGGTTTGTAACTGGGAATAAACTCTGAACTTAAAATATTGTTAACATTTTCCAAATAAAATCTTCATTATAAAAAAAAAACACGTAATTAATGACTAGCTACACAGCTGCATGAAGCTTAGGATGAAGCAACTGTCCCCAATAATTAATTGCCCCGAATTTATCCCTGCATGTGAATGCATTTTATTACTTACGATCATGAGAGCTATTTTCTCCTCCATCTTTTTAACATAAAATCCTCAGACACAAATTCATTAATTAGACCAATCAATATGTACCTTTTAGTGATAAACTATAAAACCCACACATTTAAAAAAATTTAAACTATAACAAAATTTAAAATCTTAAGTGTATAAATAATAATAATTTAATTTCGTCTGGATGGATAATTCAACAAAAGGATAAAATTTCCCAAAACTATAATTATCCACTTCCAAAACATAACCGTATAAAAGGTAATATAAAACATTTCTTTGATTTCAATGTAATCAAAAACTTACCCTCCAGCCTGTCGACTTCCTTCTGCAGTTTCTGCACAGACCTCTCAGCAAACTCAGCACGTGCCTCAGCCTGCACGAATAGTTTATTTTATAAGGTTTCAGTAATAGTAAGGGAACACACAAAGAAATTTCAAAGTAAAGAAAAGCACAATTTTTGAATTTATGTAACAAGGTATTAAAAGAGCTTTACTCTTAAGAAATCTAATCTCTCAAGAAAATAAAGCTGTTTAATCCTACATTACATTCACATTTTATTTATTTCACACATTTCTTAATAATTTTGTGATAATAAACAATATGTTTTTGTATGAAGCTGTAAAGTTTGTTGAATCATGCATGTAGTGTATGGAATTGTATAGACACACTCCCTAGGAGTTAAAGTAATTTTACCTACCTACGATATTAAGTATCATTTAGAACACTGATACAATCAAGAAGATAGACTTTAAATGTGTGAAATAACAAAAATTAGTTACAAATATTATGTTTCATTCTCAAACTTTAATTACTTCAAGTGATAGTGAAATTTTTAATTTTCTATTATTTTATTGATGCAAAATGAAGTCTATAAAAAAATATACCAATTTATACTATTACACTCCACACAACAAAGAAACAATGGTTAAATACTTCTAAGAAAGTTACAAGGCCACTGGATAGTTATTTCTGTAAGTTCATTACTCTTCTACTTAAAGGGTTTGATGCAGCACAAAGGTTATTATCATTAGCTTGCAGTGAACACCCAAACATAAAATTCTTTGAATGCTAGTTTCATAACAAAATTTCCGTAAGTGACTTTATTTCTCATCTTTATTGTTCTTTACCCTGAATTTTATAAGCAGTATATTAACAATAAATTAAAAAAGTTTAACCCATTCAGAAAGAACATTTCACATCTACAAATACGCAAATACATATTTTCAGAAATTTTGACACTCCTTGAAATACATAAATCACGTGGATTAAAAAAATAAACATTCTTTTAATATTCTTTGCCAATACCTATTTCTTGAATATTACAAAAATATTCATTCTGGTTTTCCTAATTAAGAAGTATGTGGAGAAACAAATTTTCAATTAAAACCAACAGTGAACTTTCATTATTCTAATAAGATGAATCTCATTAGAATCCCCAAAATCTTCAACATTTCTTTCAATAAGTCTCCAATTGAGTAAACTATTTATCATGATGGTGTCCATTGCAAGAACAATACTTAACTTGCGAACACTAACTTAATAGCAAAAACCTGAAACTGCCTCAAATTAACACGAAACTTGTAAAATAACAATTCATTATAAGGACATCACAAAAACATTACATTAGTAATCATTACAAAAGTAAGCTTTAGAATTAATAATATTCATGCTGTTTTATAAAAATTCTTTAAAAAAAAGAAAATTAAAATAAAACTTTAAAAAAACAAGGATCAGGAAGAAGAGTAAACCAAACAAAAATACCCAGCGAGAACAAAGAAGGAAGCTTCCCACTTACTTCTAAATGCCAAAATAAATTTACTTCCCCTCTGATGACAAATTGAAGCAGATGTAACATGTAACAAGTGTGAAGTGATGAGCTACTTCAAAAACCATAAACAAGTTAATAGTAATACCCAAATAACTTAACGGCACAGATACAATAAATGTGCATTTTGGTAATTACTACTGCAACTTAGACCTTTACAAGACAACCCCAAAAATACGTTGAGCAAAAAATTTACCTCCTTGAGTGATCCAGCAAGTGATTTTACTTGCTCCTCAAAGTTCTCCTCTCTTTGGGTGGCCTAAATGAAGGGAAAAGGATAAGGGGAAAGAAAAAACACACAACAGTTGTTAATACAACACTCAAACTACAGGTTACGACACGGAGGAAACCATGCGTGGTTTAGTCACAACACGGTACCTCCTTTAGCCGTGTGTTCAAGGTCTTAATCTGCTGCTTGTACTCCTCCTCACGCTGGTTTGCCTACAGTTCACAAATAATCATAGTTGTGATCCTAATTTATATATTTCATGTAACAGATTTTACAGTAAATTCAGTTCACAAGCATATTAAAAATTTTGTATGAAAATATTCATAGGCAATATAGAAACTAGGAATTTAAGATTAAATTTTTTCCTCAATGGTATGAAATTCACAATAGAATTTACAATTTAACATTTAATAAAAACAACAAAACTATTAGGAATACTACAAAAATAGTCTTTAAATATTATCAATGTAATAACTGCAGTAAATTTAAATATTTTCAGTGCACAATATTCTGCTAAGAAAATTTCGACTGATGGTATAGTTACCTTCTCCTCAGACACCTCAAGGGACTTCAGGTTGTTACCAACAACTCGCAGCTCTTCCTCAAGCTCCACAATCTTACTGCAGAAAGGAAAGTTTTAGCAATTATTAATGTGAACACTTATGTTAAAATATATATAAAATATTATTACTTTCTACCAAATTTATAAACAACACTATATTTGCATTGATTTTTTCAAAAAATTTAAATTTTTAGTTTAGACAATTTTACTGAATAATTGCAAGAATCTCATCTAATAATCACGTGTATTTACCTACCTGCTGCAGGTACAAAAATGTTAGCAAAACTAAAACAACATTAAGGCTTAAAGCACAAACCTTTCGCTATGTTCAGCACGTTCCTCTGCCCTCTCCAAGTCCTGCTCCATCATGACCAGTTTGCGGGCAACCTACACCACACAGTGCAAACATACTCATGCAGTGCTAGTGTAGCAACATTTACAGCATACACTTCCTACTGTGCTGCACCTCAACAATTGCAACATCAAAACTTGTGGTATTTAATGTGTGTTTCTTAACATCTTTTTGTCAGAAAACCAGAGCAAATTAAAATGTGATTGGCAAAACAGTAACATCCACTACTTCACAACAAAATTTGAATAATAAATTCCATGCAATGTTAATACACACTATCACAATAATTTAATCATTTATTAATTCTGCAAAATGTCAGTATTTCAAACATCAGCAGGTTTCAAAAAAGAATTTTTAATAAATTTTCGTAAATGATTATCAACTACTTTTTCCTTACCAAAGCAATACTTTTGGAAAAAATGTTCAGGTATTATAAATGAATAATTCTGAATTACAATCACTAGTGTATGAAAAGAAAGACAAACATTTTAAGTGTACAAGTGAAACAATTGAAAGTGTCAGAGGTGAAGTACAGAAATTCAGTGCTATGAAATTTAAAATACTTTTGTTCACTATAATATAGATTATTCACTGCTGTTTAAATTCAAAAAAACAAAGACAGATCATGCAGAAGACACTTCAAATAAACATTGCACAACTGGTGTCAAAGATGTTTCATGTGCATTTCTAATACCGAATGCAAATATTATTTGTGAATAATGCAAAGTATTCTGTATTCATAACTCCATTCATGGTCACAGCTTTGATTACTGCTCCTGGAAAAGTGGTTATTCTACATCTGACAAGATAAACACCGAACACACCACAAATTATCAATCAACATCTACTTAGAACACAAACACAACACTACAGAAAGACCTGGAAAAAATAAGTACAGCAGAAAGTCCAGAAAATTTCTAATGTGCATGCGAGACCAAAATTGAAACCTACGATTCACCAGCCTCAGCACGCTCTTCTGCTCTCTCCAAGTCTGCCTCAACCATGGCCAACTTACGGGCAACCTGTGGAGCAAACCATTCGTGCTCACAATTCCACATGTTTAAACTAAGACATACTGACACAGAGGGACATTGACATTTGACAAACCTTTTTTTGCAGCTTAGAACATTAGGACTACTAATTGTGTCCATAAACATAAAAGGGCAGTAATAATTTTATCAAACTTCTTTTAAAACATTTTTTTTAACAAAAGATATTTTCATTATCATGCATCTTGCTAAAAGCTGGATGCAACAAACATACAATAACAATTAGGATAGTCAGAAACTTAACATGAATATTACAAAAGGCACCAAATAATTATGAAAAAGCATTATCCACCCAGCCTTTTGAGACATACCAATAAGTATTATAAACAGAAAAATTCTTCAAGGACAAAATACTTCACATTAATTTTTTGTGAATGGTTTTTGCAGATCCACTTTTACTTTTCTGGTTTTCCTAATTTACATTTTAGTAACAATAACAATAACCATAATAATAATAACAATAACAATTAAATTTAATTGTCAACAATGTATGCCATGAGGTGCCATAATCATTTATACAAGAATAGTTCATTTCAAAAATAATTATTGGCAAATATTTTACTAAATAAATACCCTCTATTGTAACATATTAAATAGCATTGTAAAAAAATTCCAATATCAAATGGATCATAAATCATTAAATGGAAATTGTATGACTATTTTATGAATATGTTAACTATTTTATACATTACTTCCGATAACACATTTTTTTTATATATACATTAAAATAAGGTAAAAGACCATGGCTTTCTTTTCATTTCTTAGGTAAGAATTAATAGAAGTAGATTTAACTAACATAAATTTATTTTTCCAGATTCAAAAATTCTTAATTTAAATTTAATAGATACTAATGGCAAAAAATTATTGTAATTGATTTTTATTACTCCAGAAATTCAAATTTTTTCAAATACTTCCCTTCAATTAAACACAATTATTTTAAAATGGCAAATCCTATCAGATTGGTTTTTAATAGTTGCAAAAAATTCATAAAAATTCATCAGAAAATGCTTCAGTACTTGCTGAAGAATAAACTCTTTCACATAAGAGTGTTTTTAATGTGAATCTATTTGACAAAATTAAAAATCAGACTTTTACTCATACCATGTCAGGATTTCTAGAATTTTGTATTTATGTATTTAAAACTGCAATCCACAAATTTTATTTACAAACTGTTTATTTTATGATGGAAATAATATATTTAGATCCAACTATTATGGAAATCAACAAACTGTTTTACAATAGAACATATTTAAAAAACTCAGCTGTCAGGAAAATAATAAAAATTTTATGTAAATGCCCAACAAATTCTCTCAAATGTTGTAATTTTTACACTTGTAAGCACCTTCATTACATTATTCATAAATATTTAGCTTTTTTATGGCACCTCTTGGTCACATGGCATTTGTTCTAGGTAGCAAAAATCAGGAATCTGTGCATGCCAAACAGAAATTCAATGTCCATGGTCAATGCACACTTAGTAAACAATTAACAGTCTGATCAATTTAATAAAGAACAAAATTGACAAAACTGGATTATATGTCTAAATATGAATTGGGAGCACTGAAGCAAAGGTATATTACCTCAGGGCAGAAGTGAAGTTAATACAAAACAGTCATGCCAATAAGCAAAAAGAAATTAACACACTAATAAGATTAAACTTTAAACAGGGGATCTGCCATCTCTGCTACAAAAACATTTACATCTACAGTGGAAGCACATTTCTTTTATTACAATCACCTAAGTGATGTGTTAATATTAGAGAAGTTAAAATAAAATTCCAAGCATGTCTCTGACCTGCAAAAAAAAATTAGTGGTTTTAGTAGGACTAAAGAAAGTCTTTCCATGCAGAACGTTGCTTAAGTAAGCACCATGGAACTTACAATAGCTGGTACACAAACTTGAAACACACACAATGTCCAGCAATGACGTAACAAAAAAGGTGAACTGTAGGTCTTGTAGATTCTCAACACTAACACGAATATTGCTTAAGTCAAGTGAGCACAAAAAAACAGTTCACTCAAAGTAAAATTCAACACGCCATGTGATACACTTTCACAAAATCGAGTTAGTTTTTTTAACGTAACTTGACACTTAAATACTTTGCTGAAGTCGTCTTATAAAACTTAGCACTGTTCAACACAAACTGATCGGCTTAAATGTTGTTCACTTAAAAATTAACAAAGGTCTTGCCACTTTCCTAGAAATCATAACTGCCACGAAACGACTACATAACTTCCCATCTTTGCAATGTTCCATGGTGTTTGAGTAATAACCACAGATGTCAATATTATTACACAACACTTTCTGTTTGTTAAAAAACTCAATGTTGTTTTAAGTTCCTTCATGCGAGGGGGGCTCCTTCACCTCATCATACTTCTTGTCAGCCTCTTCTGCCATGAATCTGGCTTCCTTGAGCTGGTTCTCCAGAGCGTCCATGCGCTCTTCATCTGCCAAGCTGCGGTTCTCAAGAATCTTACGAGCTCTGCATAAAGCAAAATAAAATGAAAGTTATTTACAAGTTCAATTAATTTCCATCTATACCATCCTTGAAGTTCTCCTTGGTAGTTCTACTGCAGCAACAGAATAGATAACCAAAAATCATGAAATATCTTTGTATATAAAAATGCAAAATAGACCAATATAAGATCATTTTTAACATAACGGTATCATGACAATTTTTGGCATTCTAGTCATAGTTGCTGTAACCTACCAAGGCTAACTAAGGATATGTCGTGTCCAGCAAGACATCTGCAGCTGATCCAATTCTCGAACTGCTCAGCAACTGCAAGAAAAAGGTTTTATTAGTCACCTAACAACACAAGTCTTACCTCCTCATACTTCTTATCTGCCTCCTCAGCAATGAGTTTAGCCTGTGACAATTGAGCCTCGAGAATTGCTACTCGGTCATCTTCCATATTAGTACGGTTCTCCAGAGCCTTCCGTATCCTATGAACACAACACGTAACATGCACTGTTACTGGGAGTGTACCTAAATGTTAGAACATCACACAGGGTACTGCATTCAGGATTCAAACAATGCAAAATAAAACATACTGTGAACCTCTACATAGGACAGGATGGATTGGTAAATCAAAACCGAAATTAATAACGAAGATATGAAAAGAATACAACTAAAACTAGTGAGAAAGATTTCACTTGTTTTTCATCTACTTCAAGAGTAACATCAGGAGTAGACGTCACTAGTATTAACTAATTTATATTATATATATAATATATATATATATATATATATAATATATATATATAATAACTATATATATATATATTATATATATATATATATATATAAATAAATTAAATACAATAACTGGAGTAAACTAACCGAAGCTGCAAAATATACTATTCCATTTACCATCAACAATAAGCATTGCATGATGAACTGTAACTCCAAATGTGAAGTCAGTTAGGTATGTAATAATCATTAAATATTTTAAAAAGAATCTTTCACCAATTGATTAAAGAGAGTTAACCAACATCCAGAAAATATAATTTGCAAATTAATTTGTTTCTGAGTGCATATTTTAATCAATTAACAGAAATTAGATCCCTTGATGTAAAATTTTGTTGGTGAAAATATTCTAAATAAAATGAAAGCCAAATTTTCTAAAGAATAACTACATTATTAAAACAAATTTCAATATTTTCCATGGGACTGTAGAGAATACCAGCTTCCCAAATCTCAGCCTTTTATTATAAAATATCACCTTGATTATAAAAAATTAAAAAAAATAATTTTAAAACCAAAAAATGTAGTACACGTTACATTTAGAAAGCTTAAAAAAAAGTGCTGCAGAAATGTTTGACAAGGTAATTATATACAGGCTGTGTAACATAGGTTTGCAATTATTTCCATTGCAAATAATGCAGATATTACTCATCAGTCATGTGAAACAAGTACAAAACATAAGATACACACATAGTTTCTTGTAAAATTTTACCACAATTGTCACATCTTAACAGTCATATGGATGCAAAGTTATATAGCGCAGAATTTCTGAAGAACTATAAACCGGTATTTGAAGGTATATCTTCATAATTAAAATTACATTAAAAGCACAAAACACAATTACAATTTAAAAACATTTAAACAAACATTTTATAATTCATAAAACAAAAAAGGCATATCAGCGACTATTGAACTCTTGACAATGCAGTGACTGCCGATTTGTGACAATGCAGGCAAAGCTTCCAATGTCGCCGCATACAATACGCACCGCTCAGACTCGTCGGCGGCCTGGGAGGCTTCGGCCAACTTGGCGGTGGCAGTGGCCAGGCGCTCCTCAGAGCGCTCCAGGTCCTCCTCCAGCAGCTGGATGCGGCGGTTCAGGGCAGCGATTTCACCCTCAGCCTGCGCAAACATTGCTCTGCATCACAACTAGCCCATCCCCTTCGCGCGAATAACCAGTACTTAAATTTAGAGTTAGGTATAAAGTAAAAAAAAAAAACAACAACATTAACCAGCAAACAGAATAGTTTAACGATTGACGTCTACCTCCTTGTTTATTTTCCCAAACGACAGGTTCTGTCACCCTGAATGTACAACTACCTGATGCATTATTGTGTTGCACTTAAATTCACTCTCATGTCATTCAACCCGTATTGGAATGATTATAAAGTTCGTTGCATTATGTATAAAACAAGACCAATCTCATGGTCTCGTCACTACATACATATGAACACATTTATTTAGTGTCAGATTATTTTGAAATAAATCAGCATCTGATAATTAATTAGGATTGTATTTAAGTTGCCTCTTCGAAATGCCGTTTTTCGTCTAGCTTAAGTTGGAATTTTAACAAAAACAAAATTTCCTAGCAAAGCTTGGGAATTTTTGGAAGATAATTCAGCAATATAGTTTTTTAGGATGACATTTCACATTGAAATGCAAGATTTGGTCACTACTATTACGCAAATGACAAGCGGTAAATTTTACTTGAACAGAGGTCGCTTCATTTCGGAGGGGGGAAAAAAATCCTATTTCACGCTTTCCTACGCCTGACGAATGTCGAATTAGCGCGCGGTTGAGGATATTTATTATGGCACGCGCAATCTACGGTTCGCACGCTGAACAGCAAGGAAGCTCCTTCACGCGAACCACCCACCACCTCGTGAGCGGGCATCGGAGGTGGTTGCGGCGGTGGCAGCTATTGCGATGACGAAAACGCTCTCTCTTACTTAAACGATTCCTTGTGCCATTAGCATCAGCGACGTGCTTGCCTGAATCTTGTTATGGCCACTACGTCAGAATCGGGGGCAACACCAAACATGGACTCGCTTTCAAGCGGAGCTTGCTAGACGACTACAGCACGGGAACAATTGCAGCCTTATGCACGCGGGACAGGTTTGTCGGCGGCAAGTGACGAACCGATCGCCAAGGAAACGGAGAAAACTTACATATGGTGAAAAGCAGCGGCAGATAATTGAAAGTTCCCTCAAATCTGCGAGAGCCAGGTATGGAGAAAAGGAGGGCAATCGAAACCATCAAATTTTAGTTCTTAAAATAAAATAAAAAAAATAGTTTGAAGAGGGTTGGAGTAATAATTAACTAGAACAGAGCTTTTTGCACGAATGCCAAACAGCAGCATCACCCAAGACAGTTAATTTTTTTAACGCTCCAAAAACTAAAATTCCGCGGAGGCTCTTTCTTCACCTCCCCCCTAAAGCGCTTGCGCCAGACACGACTTGGTCGCGAGGCAGCGGGGGCGCAGCGTTCGCCCGTCGAGGGCTGGAGGCGTGGCGTGGCGTGGCGTGGTCTCGGGAAACGCTCAGCCCTCCCGCCTGCGCCGCCGGAAGGGGAAGCGACGTTGCGGTGCAGAAATGTAGAAGGAGCCGACCGCCCCGGGGCGGATATGGCGAAGGAAGCGCGATATGGCGCCAGCCGCGGTCGCTGTCCCGCGCACGTCGCCTCTTGCGTTGGGCGAACACACACACATTATGAACCGTCCACGCCCCCCCCCCCCATTCCCCCTTTCCGAATCAAAATTTGTTTAAAAAGGTGGCATTACAGATCAACTAGACCCCTTATCGAAGATTTACATGTTAGAAGAACGGGTAAACGAAAACTAGGATTACTTTTTGACTCAGTATTTTCAATTAGTTTAGCAAAAGCTTGGGTGATATTACATAAGTACACTGCTTTCAGTAATCTATAATCCCGAGGAAAGTCATGTTACGTTCAAAATCAATTTTATCATTTCGTCATTATTCTTGGTACTATAACTTATCGGTTATCGATTTATGAGTAACACATGATAGCACGCAGAATTGCTACGAGTCAGTGTCACGACAAAGAAGAGAATGTCGAAATTTGTTTTTCGTGAGACAATTAAGATGAAAAAATCTGGATACGTTCAGGACACGAGTGGTATTGAAACTTCACGCCATTTGCTCATCAATTTAACAACTTTCCGGAGGAACAATCTTTAGTAAATACTCGATAAGAGAATCCAGTTTTATCGTATCTCACTGCCTTACCCTACCTTATTAACATTTATGCTAGCGTATCTTCATATCGTCACGGATGCTCTGCTGCAGGCGCTCATCGGGGACAAAAAACTCCGGGGGTAACTCTCGCATATCATTAGGTTGCCCCCGCGCACACACACTAAAAAACGAGAACGCAACCAAGAATGCCCGAGCGCCTACCACGCCCATTACGTCACATCTACCATCGCAGCCAATTAAAGTGGAACACAGACCGAGTCGCCCCCGGAGAGAAAGACGAGGCGTGACTCTGGCATTGTGAGTCTCGAATCAATTTGACAGAGACCTCCACAATAGCAGGGAAAACCGGGTAGCGCCCTTTCACAGGTGGGCGCGGGGAGGGGGAGGGGAGGGGATAGGGGAACGGGAGGGGAGCTGCGGTGGATGCGCGTGAGGGCCGCTCCGCCGGCTGTCGGGTGCCCGTTCCAGCGGGGCTCAATAGAACACAATGGCGTGAGTTATGCTGGCTCGGCCCGCCACCGCATCGGTGTCCACCCACTCGCAATGCTGATGCCTGCCGCGGTCACCACGAACTCCCCACTGTCTGGGCCGCCAAAACACATTCTCGCCACGTTTTTAAGCTAGATCTCATCATACGCGCGTTTCGTCTACTAATAATTGACTTGTTGATATTACAATGCAGCCTATTTTTAGCGACCATAAGTAGAACCGGAAGTATGGCAGCTACACAAATACCCTGCAGGCATTGACATCGTACTAAGGCACGGTGGTGTTTTTCTTCTGCTGTGGAAAATATATTTCCCTAACGTTAAACTTAGTAATTAAAATAAAAAGTGTACATTAATATTAACAATTAATTTTTTACAATAATTCCATTTAAAATGTGATTTTTTGATTGTTTAGTAAGCCTTTTGCAGCCCTACTTAGCGAGATAAAGGGCTCTTTTTCATGCCCATTTAGGTAAAATAAAATGGCCTGAACTTCCGGGATCTACTTTCAGTAGCCAGTATACAATATTTATTTGCTTTCAAGAGGAAAGACGAAGGGATCGACATGCAAAAAATCAAGTCTCGCGAAAAGAAAGTTTTGCAATCTTGCCTCCTAGAGCACATGATCATGAAATGGCCTATCGAAGTTCCAAGGCATACTATGCAACAGAGCTTAATTAAAGCTTGCCGGTCAAAGATACAATTCAATTAATGAAAAGAAACTGCTCTGTGGCACCTGCTAATTAAAGAACAAAAAGTGCACTTAAGGTTTTCATCGAAGTAGGATTGTTCCTCAGTCTATTCCACCGAACCCCACGCCTTCCAGTCACTGAGGTAAAGACGTGTGTGGTGTGTGTGTGGGGGGGGGGGTCTTATCTGAACACCGATAGCTACCAGCTCGCGAATAGCGAATGTTTGGTGAAGTTTTTACCCAACGACACTTTATTACGTTGACACAAGGTAAGCTATTCGAAGGAAAACTGATCCAGAGTAAAAGAGTTTTAAAACGCGTCAGAAATAATCTTAAAAGTGTAGTCTATACACCAGAGTGATTTATATGTGGTGTAGAATATTTGTCAGTAATTAATAAAATAAATAGTATTTTGGGCGTAATTGTATGAAGGACCCAATCCTATCTCTGCTCGTGAATTAATACTAGTATTATTTTGTTAGGACATTACCACGCCGAAGCAGTGCACTTCAAAGCGTCCGCTCGATGAGAAAGTGGGCCAACGGAATACCACGCATCCAATCTCCATAGTCCTCCCCACGTTGGGCATTAATCGTTTCAACCCAACATTTCGACCCCTTCCGCACCCGCCATCCTCAAGTTGCCCGAGAATTACGAACCCCTAAAGCAGCAATTTCGCTCCAACAACGTCAACCTTTCAATCACCAGCCCAATGAAGCGCGAATCACTGTCGCATCCCAAAACCAGCGCTCCGTAGCACACCATACCCAGCCGGGGGGGGGGGGGTCACGGGGTCCCGACTTCAAAGCGAACTGTACTCGCTAACGCACCCGCCCAGCCCCACCCAAGCGCCGCGCGGCAACCCCGCCCTGGCAAGGCTGGCCGGCGGTGCGCACTCATTCATGCCCCAAGGGCTCCGCCCGCCCCGCCCCCGCCCTCGCCGCGCCGTCGCCCGCCCGCCGTCGCCCCGGCGTCGCCCCGCCGCCCGCCTTCGCCCGCCCCCGCCGTCGCCCGCCCCGCCCGCCGTCGCCCGCCCCCCCCGCCCGTCGCCGCCCGCCCCGCCGTCGCCCGCCCCGCCGTCCGCCCGCCCCGAGCCGTCGCACCGCCCCGCCCCGACGTCGCCCACCCGCCTTCGCCGCCGCCGCCAGCCCACCTACCAACAGCCAGCGCCCTCCCGCCCGCCGGTAACGGTACACGCGCGGCGCGCACCGCCAGGCCGCGCCTCCGGCCCGCAGGCCGCTCCGCAGGTCGATGGCGAGCCGGTCGCCGCCCTGCGGGAGCAGGCCTGCTTCCCCAACTGGCACGCTACGGCACGCCCTCTCCATACGGCTCCTTTCCACCTTCAACTGAGGGCTCTTCAGCGGTAATAACTATGCTCTGACTCTGCGAAGCATTGTGGATGCCAATGAGGTGCCGATGAACGAGAACAGTTCGTCAT